TTATAAACCATTAAATTAACACTGGCACCCATTATTTTTCTTTTTCTATGTTTTATTGATCTGAAATAAATATTATCAGTCAATTGGGTCTTCGAGCGAAAGTAGTGTTTTTTTCTTCAGAAAGAAAAAAATTACCAGAATTTTGGATCGTCATGTGTTCGATTTAAGTGATTGTTTTGTTTATTTTTAGAAAGGGGGTAATCAAATGGATCGTAAAAACGATCCATGTTTTTGTTGCCGGCACAGAGGTGTCCGTGTCGGCCGGTTAAAAAAGAGGAAATATTTTCACTTTATTGTTTTCAATTAAATTATTTATCAACTATAATTAATACTATAATTTAAAAGTAATTTTTTTTAATGAAAATAGAACATATTATTGTGACCAAATTATGCAATTTTTGTTTTTTTAAATAAAGACGTAAATTCAATTGTTACACTGGTTTATTAACTTAAAAATTTATAACAACACATTTTCATTACATGCGCCAATAAATTTGCTTTGTTGTTAATGAATATTCTTTTTGTACTTCTTTCTTTTAAATAAGCTGTTATTTTTCCTCTTCACCTTAAAAAAAAGAAGTACAAAAAGAATAATAATATGGAACTCTTGATCTGAATTTGATTGAATTGGAATTCTCAAAATTAAATAATTTTAATATTTTTTTAAAAACACTTTTTTAGTTTGGAATACCAATTAATAATACAAGTGATAGGAATTGTGTTTATATTTAGTTTACCAACATTGTAATTTTTGATGGTATAAAATATGAATTAAGGACAATTCTAGTGTTTACAACGATATCTACTTAATATATTTAGAATTAATAAAGAATTTTATGTTATATAACAAAAAAACAATGGAAGAATTGTTCATTTTTTACTGACTCAAATACAAAAATAGGAGAGTATGAAATTGGAAAAATTGTATTTTCTTAAGCAAATAACAAAGGTTTCCCAATGATTTAAGGTGATGAGTATCAAAAAACGTTTGAATTAATGTGCATTTTATTACCCCAAAAGAAAAAAACACAATTAATTAATAAATAACAATTAGGTTTTTAAAAATTACTTTTTAAAAAGGTGAAACTAGAGTCAGTCTTTTAAAGTTATCTGGTGGACAAAAAATAGATTCATTTTTGTCTAAACATCGGGCATTAGGTAAAGCGTGAAAAAACCCGAAACAATTGGGATGGGTTTTTGGGACTGCTTCCCGAATTATTCCAATTTTTATGGTCCAAAAGGCACCAGATAACGTTAAAAGACAGACTGTAGTCAAGTTTAGTTGAATAATAAGGAAAAAGTTTTATTTTTGAAAAAATATGTATTTTAAAAAAAATGGTTGTTGATACCATTCATTTTACTTATTATTAATACATTTGTTAACTATTATTACTCAATTCATCATTGGTATTGTTTATTAATTAACTGTTCGTCGCAAAAATTTAGTTTGTTTATATAAATTAGTTTTTAGTCGTTATTGTCTAATACACTGGGAATTGTATGCAATGAATTACCAAAGCAATCGCCATACCATAATACAAAATCATTTGTCAAATCCACCATAACTTTTCTTATATAATAAAAATAGAGCAGATTCGTATAACCCCAAACATCAAATTATTTCTTTTAATTCAAAAAACCACACCAAATTGTTTAAAGAGGCTATGAATTGTTAAATTGAAGAAAAAGACTTGAATGCAAGAACTATAAGTGTGATATAAATACTATTGTAAATAATTCACGCCACCTAACTGCCAAAGAGTAGTCTGGCAATAATAGAGTCCATTCGAAAAAGGTCTTTAGAAGTTATAAATCGCCAAGAAACAAAGACCGAGGAAGCCAAAACGGATATATCGCAGTCTCACCCCTTATCTAGAAAATCGGAACAACTAAATCATTCTATGCTGAACGCAACTAGCTCTATAGTCTCGTCACCCAACTCAATACCATCCACTGACTACCAAATGCAACAACAACAATACGGAGTTACCGGACTGCAACAATACCAATATACAGACACACAACAAATCGCACCACCACAACAACAAGTCGGCGTCTATGATGTTCAAAGTGTGATTGAACAGTTACTTACGTTCTACTTTTCATATGAGGAAATTGTAGCAGATTTGGAGAGTAAAGGCGTTGCACAGAACCTCACCTTGTACATCCTTGACCAGTTGAAACAACAAAACCCGGGGTATTTCACTGCTTACGAAATCCGTGTAACAGTCAAAAGTTTGTGTTTGATTCAGTTTAGCGCGATGTGAATAACAAAAAGACCAAATTGCTCGGTTTAATGACGCATTTCAACGAGCAAACGCATCTCAACAAAGCGACCAACAAACTCCACAAAACATATTTGCAGACTACGACGCCGGATGTTTTAATTCGTTCCAGGCAGACCAGTCCATTACTGCGTTCTAAATGTATTGTTCTTTTATGTTTCAATTTTGGGGATCAAACAAGATGTTATTCGATAGAAGGATACGTCCATATTCGATATTTTTATAAATGCTGATTTATGAAGTTGTTTTTTATTTTATTTCTAATTACCCATTTTATTTATATAATTCCTGCTAATTCAAAAATACAAAAACTCAAAACTTCTTTTGAAACACTTTTGGGAAGTAAAAAAATTTTCAATAATTTCTTCTCTATTTTTACCTTAAATTGTTTGTTGAGGAAATAAATTACTATAAAGTATAGTACATTTTTTAAAGTCAACAGAAGAAAAATTAACCACAAAGTCAATTGATCACAAAGCAGAAAAGATAGTGGTTTGAAAATTGTTATTAAAAGGTAAGAACATGTTCAAAAAGCATTTATACGTTTAATGTTTTAATATAAAGTCTGTCAAAAAACGTTGTCCATTTGACAAAAAAATACACAAAATAAGTTTAAAAATTTGGGAATTAGGAAAAAACGATCAAATCCTGGTAAAAATTATGAAACAATGTTTTGGGAGTGTTTCGAATCGTTTCCTGAAATATTCTAGTTTTGATTGTCTAAAAATGCCCAGACAACGTTTTCAGACTGACTATAGTGTAATTTCAATGCCATTTCAACGTTAGCATATTCAATTATTTTTGGTATTTATAAAAAAATCTCGAAATTTTAAAAGGTGATAATTTGCTCAAATTAAATATATTTTAATTTTTTAAATATAAAATAACGATGAAAAAATAAAAAAGTTTCAAAAAAACACAAAAAAGAAATTTAAAAATAAAATATAGTTTTTTAATAATTTTGGTATATTTTAATTACAATGTAAAATAAAAATATAATTAACATTATTTTTTAATTTATTTATTTTGGAATAGTTAATCTATCGAAATAAATGAACTATTATAATAGTATTTAACTACTATAATAATAAAATCATAAATATCTAGCAAAATTTCATAATTTCTACAACAAATAATCCAATTGTTTTCGTGTGATATAAAAAGAGAGGGATAAAGTTATTAAGAAATAATAAAGAAATTAAACAACAATAAATTATTTCAGAACAACCGAAAGTGGACATTAAATAAGATTCAAAATAGTTGAATAAGAAACTATAAATTATAATGGATAAGCGGAGTAGTGTGAACTCAATCTTTGCCTTTTGGAGGGAGCATGAGAACATCGGAAAGTTTCCCAGTGACGAAGAGATGCATGTAGCAATGCTGAAGTGTGTTTGTTGTTATAATATCATAACCCTTCTGATTGATAGAAAGATACAAAGGCAATGAAAGCTTGGCTATGGAATGAAATCTTTGGGATGAAGACGCCTATTGACGAGCAAAAACTTGTTTTTCTATTAAAAATTCTTAAAGAGGAATGGGATAGGTCATCGAATGGAACGGATGTAGTTGCTATTCCTGGTGCCGCGATTAAGAGATCAGCTTCTTCTCACGTTTTACTAACTCAACAAGAAAGATCTTTGTCTCCCGACTTTAAAATGTTCATCGACGAAGACGGTGACTTAACAAAAACAGTCATAGGAAGACCGCAATCAAAGCAGTTGGTTCCGTTAGTCATTGGGGAGTCCAAAATTGATATTGTAGAAGTCTCTCAGAGTAAAGTCAGTGAAGAGCGAAATAGAATGAATTCGCTGCGAACGGATATTGAAAAACGAGATGAAAAAGCGCCACCAGACATATATGTCGAGATGTTGACCACCGACGAGAAAATTGAAAAAGTCGAAAACAAAAAAGATGCCAATGAAAGTCAACTCACGCAAGAATTTAAAGAACAAGAGAGAAGTAAAGGAAGTAAAGACAGTCAAGACATCGCTGAAAAGAAAAATTATAAAAAGAAGGTCAATATCAACATCGACAAAAAGCCCGACTTCTCTCCACTCAACATTTCTTACTTGGAAGCACTCCCTTCGAAGAAAAATACAGACAACTTTGACACTAAGAGAAGCGATAAAATCATCGAAGTCGAAATGCTCCCCACGAAGAACGAAAAAGTTGAAAAACTCGAAAACTTATCGAACAGTATGACATTACGTGGGAGAAATGATAGCCGGTGTGGCGGAGGAGAACAAGTTGGAGAATGCACATGTGATAAGTCAAGCACAAAAACTGTCGAAAGTTCACAAACACAATGTCAACCAAGCACAATCAGCCAAGTCGAGGCTATGGGGTTGAAAGCGAGGATCAACGAATTGGAACGAATGGTCGACGACCTTAGTCAGTCGCAATCTGGGAAGAACAATAGGATGTCGAAATCAGCACAAATCTCGCCGACTGATAATTCACCGAAGAGTTCTCCTCGGTTAAGAGACCTTAAAACACACAAAGGCTCCGACGCAAACAAAAGCTTCTTAGGGTTTTCATTTTGGAAAAAGAAAGAAGACAAGAAGTCACTTGCACGGTCGGTCTCAGCACGGATTGTTGTTGAAAAGGAAGAAACCAAAAAGATTTTAACACCACAATTGACTAAAAGAGAGAGTTCAACCGAATTGGAACAACCAACACAAAGCGAATTTCCAAGTATCGGAGTGGAGGAGTACAGACAAGAGGTCATCCGACTGAACAAACAAATCGTACAAATGCAGAGAAAAATGAAGCAGAAGGATTCCGAACTTCAAGCACTGGTCGACGAACAAAAGAATTTTTTCCCAATGGTCAATTTAAAAGATGTTGATTATTTCAATAACAAAATTTCAACTGAATTTGTCGAGACGGTGTTGAGCTGTTTATCGAACAAACCAATTGACGTTCAACAAAAGTACATTGGGCACTTGAATGACTGTGTTGAAGTGAAATTGGCTGTTCCAGACAGCGTGTCCACTGAACGGAAAACAAAAGAATTTCATTATACCAGCCCGAGTGTGCGGCCAAAGATTCAACGTGTGGCTTCGACGATGTGTTTGACGAGAAGCGAAGTGCCAGTCACACAAAGAGATATGTATCAATGTCTCTGCCAGACATTCCAATTGCAACAAGAAGACTATTATCACATGTTTCAAGTCATATCGTACTTGTACTTTGCGCCATTCAGACAACAATCGAATGTGCGAATCATCAACAAATTGGACCAAACTTTTCCAGAAATGATGATGATTGAGAGAACATTAGTGCGCAATTTGAAGAAAGGTTTTGTCGATGCGTTGAGTGAATATGCGATGAAGCTCAAATTATACATTCCATTTGTGTTGCTGAAAGATAAAATACTCTTCGAGTGTTCGAGTGAAATCAACACCATCGAATTCAAGTCGACTTACAACGAAAGGATGAGCGAATTCAAAAAGAAGTATGGTGGAACACTGACAATTCCAGAGTTTACTGTGTGTGTTAATCGTATATCTTCGCGAATTACAGAGATGGCCAGATTCGTGCAAGACATCATGCGACACATTCCAATGAACGACGCCGAATATACAAAAGTGTTGGACATTGTCACAATCACGCTACAAACAGACGAGGAGTTGAAAGATGCCATTGTAGAATACCTCGAGCTCGAAGATGTCAAAAATGTCGAGCAGAAATTTTTAACGACATCAACGCGCATATGCGATGGAAAACGCCGCGTAAAGTATTTTGGAGGGATGAAGTTGGTGACCCCTGGCGAGGTTGGGAAGGATTGGAAGATGTGTCTCTTGTTCACCGACGTGATGATTGTCGCGCGGCCGTTTGTGTTTGGCAAGAAAAGTACACGTGACCGTGAGAATTTGCTCCGATTTGAGAATTCGCCGCGCGGTCGCGATGTCTCCGAGTTGAACGAATACCGTTTTAATGAAGAGTATCGTATCCCAATACGGTCGCCAGTGAATGTGATGAACATCATTGACACTGATAGTGTACACAATGCTTTTATGTTTGGGTGCTTAGGGGTGAGGAAGAATTGCATGTGTGTTTCAACGCGGGAGCGGGACAACTGGGTCCAGGCAATAGTTCAAATCAACGAAGACACTCAATAAAACGGCATCTAATTGTTTTTTGTTTTAATTTAGTGTTATAGTGTATATTTCTATAAAATACTATATATTTATAGTATTTTTACTACAACACAATCTTTAGAGATGGCACTCTATATATAGAGTTGGAACCTTTTAATTGAAAAGAATCACTTAGGCACTTTAGAGTCGATGAGCGTGAGAAACTCTGCAAATTGCTGTGGGGAGAAAAGGTGAGTATTTAAGTGCAAATTGGCGACGTCTGTTCCCTGTTTACAAACGATGATGGGAGAGTTTCCTGTGAGTTCTCTGATCTTTTTGAACATCCCTTCAGAGTGTTGTACGACAACGACACTTTGGTCTCCGATGATTTGTTGCACGTCTTGTGCTGGGACCAAACTTCCGATTGAGAGAATCCAATTTTCTCCATCATATGCTAACACCAAATTGTTTAGGGCGTTTGTGTCTGTTGGTATTTGTTTCAAAGTGATTGGGTCAAAGAGTGAAGGGAGGATCATGTTTTTGATACTCTCCAATTTCATCGCCAACACCTGTTCTCTTAAGTTAACGATATAATCCGATGAAGGTAACGAAATGAGGGAGACTATACCTGTTGCGTATAACGTTAATGATACAGCCAATGCTGGGACATTGACTGAATATAATTGTTGTGTATTTCCCTTGTTTTGGACGAACTTGAAAAACTTGGCGAGTTGGTTGGCAAGGGATACCATCAAATCCTCCTTTTTCAAAACAGGTCTCTGGTCCATCAAGATCAGTGCCATTACCCCAGCAACATTTCCGTAATCTTGTGGCAGACATTCACTTTGTATTTGTGTGACTGGAACTGCTATTGTACACACTCTTATTAATCTTTTTCCTTCTAAATTGGTGAATAAATACGACGCTTGAAGATAGACATGAGGCGCGAGAATCGGTGAGTCAATTGTGATTCTAACGTTCAATGATGTCGTAGACGACGCCACAGGGCATGAAATCACGTCCGATATTTTTGTTAAAAAGTGACCATACCTATTCACCACTCTCAATGTGTTTGACACTCTCATTCGGAAACTTCCATCGACTCCACACACATCACAAATGGACTTATGAAGTGCTTTGAAAAACGTACCATCGCCTAAAGTGTTCACTCCACAATATGATGAATCTCCCCCAGTCTTCCCAACTAAATCGACAATTTGAGGGAGGTCAATCAATTGTCCTGTAATGATGTGTAAGTCCACTGTGATTCCTTTGTTATTTAAATCCGCTGCTATCTTCTTAAAAGCGTCATTCGACCGCTGTTCCGAGTATGGTGTTCGGACAGTATACACCCCTTTACCGACATTAACAGGAGTGCTATTGATAACAACTATCTTCCCTCCTACTTTTGACAACAAAGTGGATCCAATACCAATGGCTTCATATAAACAGTTGTTCCCATTTGGCCCCATACTTTTGATTAATGGTAAGATCTGTTTCACTTTTTGTGCATTTAAAAACACGGAAGGCGACTCACAGATGTCGACCTCCATACTCGGCATAATCACATTTTCAACAACTCCATTTTTACTTGCTTTGAATAAATGAATGGTGTCGTCGTATGCTATTAGCGCGACTTTTGCGGTGAAGTCGAGTGCGTCCAAACACTGGATGACAAACTCGAGAGCCGGGCAGTTCAGATCGATTAAAATGACCATATGCACCCCTTCATATATTCTCGGCATGAAATTGTCTGGCACCACAAAGTCCACACACCCCTGTGTCAACTCCGGATATTGTGTTTCGTTGTACAACTGATACGGTGACTTACTCAAGTAGTTCACGTGGTTACAAAAGTTACATACAAAACGGGTCCCTGGCACTTGCCAATTAACAAAAGGATTGATAAATGCTCTGCAATATTCACACCGATTAATAACTCCATTTGTAGTGTTTACTTGTGCCACTGGAATCGTTGGGTTTGTCGGATGGACGTTGACCGCAAAGGGTAACCCTATGTCCAAAAGTTGTTGTCTATCGCTTGGTATCTTCGGTAATGTCGTCGACATAAACTCAACCGGCGCGTTCCCCTTCAGCTTCCCGTTCTCGACATCGTATGGATTATACATCACCAGACGTTGCTGATTTTCGAGTTTGGTGTGAGCGTAGGGTTTTCCCTTCTTTTCCCTTTCTTGCCCACAAATTATCCCTAAGATATTTATTTCGAGTTTTTCACTTGTATTTCTCTCAAGCTATTTTAAACTATATTTTCTAGTAATTTTACTATAAATGGTATTAAATCGATTCTAATTAATCCCTTCAAAAATTAGAGAACACAGACATGGAGAGTCTAATTCCTCTGTTATAATTGGCACACAGACATCGACGGGTTTACTTTCTTCCAACTTTCCATTGACCAGCTGTTTAATGATTAAAGGAGGTTTGTTGAACAAGTTTCTCAGAGTGAAAACTGTTTCACTTGTTTGTGGTATTCTCCACGTTTTTAAAGAGGGGTGTGGACCTCTGTGGAAATACCCAAAGACACTTCCTATTTGTGTGACTTTGATGCATAGGATGTTACTCTTTCCTGACGCCATTTTCCAACTATTTTCGTCACCATCACCTTCTATTGTCCCAACCTTTTTGTAGTTCGATATTTTGGTCCACTCCCTTATCTTGTCGAACTCACCGCGCTGCACAAAACCCTCAAATATGTCTTCTGTGTCTGGCAGTGGACCTTTTTCCAATTCATCTAATTGTGTTTTTAAAGCATTGTTCTCCACACGACCTTTCATTATAGTGACCCACATGACATCATTCGTTTGTGCATTTGTCTCCGCTTGCGCCTTTAAGTTGTCAACTTCGGTTTTGAGCGCTTCAATTTTCAGCCTCAGTTCCTCAACCTCTAACTGCTTTCTCTTCTCTTGGATTTTAGTCACTATGTCATCATCAATCGGACCTTCCGAACCATTTTGAATGGTAAGCTCATTGCTTATTATACCAAGCTCGGTGTCTTTACTCACTAACTCTTGCTGTAACTGCCCAATGCGACTCTCATACAACTCGCTCGTCCGCTTTTTCTCGACAACACTTTGAGAACTCTCCGCCTTCAGAACTTCTATCTCTTTTTTGGAGACTTCCACCTTCTTTTGGAGTACCAAATTCTCCGCTTTCAATATTTCCAACTCTTGTTTCTTTTCCTCATCAGCCTCTTTACGTATTTGGACGACTTGCTGAATGAGGGTTTCCATCGCTTGAAAACCCTCAATTACGTCTCTTCTTGCGTCTTTCTCCAACTTCCCGATTTCCCCGTCTTTTCTCTCTGCCTTCTCTCTCACCAATTTCATCAACAATTCGAGTGACTCTGCGGGTTCGTTCTGTGATAATTTGAATGTGTTGTTACTCATCAAGCCAAAGCAAAACGCCTATTTTCAGTTGAATGGAACCACGAAAATAACTCGTAAAAAGTAATGTCACAAATTAACTACAAATTAAAACATTTTCTTATCTCATAATTCAATACTGGAACCGGTTCCTCAGACTTTTTTCTTGTTTTTTCTCTTCGATTCCAAAACTGAAGTCTTCCTTCTCAAATTCCAAAAGCTCTTTCACAAAGCCACTGTTCGGCATCACACACTGCCTTTTGCTCTGCACAAAGAGCAAAGAATCTTTATACGACAGCCCATTCTTCTTCATCAAGTACGCTATCACAATCGATGCACTTCGACTGATCCCACACTCACAATGAACTAACACCCCTCGCTTCCTTTTGATGTTCTCGTTGATGAATAAAATCGATTCTTTCAAGACGTCTGAGATCAGCTCTTTTGGGTCATCTTCTATCGGCAAATATAAGTTGTTGGTATTCATCTTTTCTATAGGCTTTTTGCCGATCGAGATGATTGCGCCGATATTCAATTGCTTCAGAAACACCGTGTCTTTAGTTGCATTGACTGCGCCAAGGTACAAATTGCCGATGATCAGCGTCGGGTTCTTTTGGAAGAATATTGAAGGGAACGAGAAGATGTACCGCTGTGTTGTGTCTACTGGTGCATTAATGTAGTTATCCGATATGTCAAAGTAGACCAAATTATCTGCGGTGGTGTATTTATCGAAATTCAGTTTTGTAATTGCGTTTTCGTGGATATCGACAAACCGGAGTGTTTGGTGTCTTTTGAGTGGGCCAAGTGTTCTTATTGCGTTACACGACAAGTCGATTTTTGTGAGAGTAGTGAATTGAGTTATCACACTTGGTACCTTTTTCAATACATTATGGCTCAAATCGAGTTCTTTAAGAAAAGGAAGTGGTGGGAGTGGGAGTGATGCAAGTCTGTTATTAGAGCAGTCCAATGAAGTGATATAACTTAAAGAAACTGTATTCATTATTGTTCTGAAATCATTATAACTCACGGGGGGAAGGTCAGTTAGTGTTTGACTTTTGTTTTCAGATTCTTTGGGGTTGGGATTTTGTCGCGTGAAATTAAAGACACGTTGTGTGACCCGTTCCGTTTGTAACATCAACTTGAATTTTTGCGTTTTGTTCAATTGAACAAAGAAAGGAGTGATGCGGTTTGCACTTTCTCGAAATTCTACAGTCTGTATTTTGTTTGAATTTCTTCCACTTTTTGAATCACTTCTGTTCTTCATTAACATGTAAATCATATTATTTAAACGATAGTTAACATTTTATATATTTTTTATAATTTAAAATCTATTAATTATTAATTGTTATTCATAAATAGTCATATTAATTAAAATAGACATTTTTGGGAAAATAAAAAGAACCTAAAAAGTTTTTTAAATTGGTCGAACGTTTATACCAATCATTACATCTTGCCTATTGAAAACAAAATAGTGTTGTTTTCAAAATTTTTGAAAAAAAAACCCTAAGCTTCCGGGAAAGTGTTTTAAATAATAAAAAAATATCATATCCTCTATAATAACCATTAAACTTTATTTGTTCTGATAATTATTCGCATCAATAAATTATTTCATTGCTTATTTTTATATTTTTTCTTTTATGACTAATTGCTTATTAGTTTATAAATTGTATACTTCATTATTTCTGATAATGTTAAATTATATATGGCAAAAAATTAATAATCAAACACAAAAAGATTAAAAACATAAATGAAATCTGTGAAGATTGAACAATAAAAACATATTTGCTTTTTAAAGGAATATTTTTAAATTGTATGAGTTTATTTTATTTTTAATGATGAAGTGAACCTTCATTTAACAAAATTATTTATTAATTAATTATTTTTATTTTCATTTGACAATGTTAAATTAGAAAAAAAATAGTAATTATTATTTTAATATATAAATTAGAAATTTATATTTTTTAAATGTCGAAGATCCATTTCAAATATCAAAAAGACATTTGAATCGGACGACACAGTCACTTTGAAAACAATACAATTTTAGTTAAAAAGTTAGTAAAAATATGTTTATTAAAAAACTATAAATTTATAGTAAAATCCAATCAAATAATGTTAGTGACCATCTCTTCATCTTCCTGTTCACTCATCTCCTTTGAGTCTTCAGAGTTTTCTGATTCTTCCGACGAAGACGGGTTTTGTTCTTCAATATCCATCTTTTCCGCACTTTCTTGAGGTTTCTCCTCTTTCGACTTTTCGCCTGTTTTCTGCATTTCAGCCTTTTCAATTTTTTGTTTAACAATTTCGACTTTATTTCCGGCTTTTTCGACTTCGGTTTTGACGACTTTATGGTCGGCGGTGTTTTTACGTGGCTTTTTCTCGTCCGATTCCTTCTCGAGGATTCTCATGTTTCTCCTTTGAGCTTTTTTGAGTTTGTCGGCGTATTCCTTTGATTTTCGTATTCCGTCCAATTCACAGCTAACGTTGACATCTAACAAAAAGGTATTGACATTATGATCTTTCACGTACTCTTCAACGTCCTCTTTACTTGTCTGCATATGAACGCACCATCCGTCGAAGTCCGTTCTTCTTTTCTCTTTTGTGGTGAGTCCTTGGTCGTAGATTTTCTGCCCAACAGCAATGCCAAGCCACGCATCTTTTGCAGCGTAATTGATCTGGTCTTTCGACAATTGGTCTTTCCCCCAAAACCCATCAAAAGTCAATTTTTTCTCCGCAGTTAATTGCTCTCCTAAGAAATCCAAGTTTCTGTAATCGGATGTAATGCCAATAACATACGCAACCCACCCAACATCAAGTCCACCAACACAATTGATCCTAAAGGTTTTGTCAATAAGTTCAAAATCGCTATGAACTCCAACACCCAATTTTGAAATTTCTTTGTTTTGCAAAAAATCTGTCAAGAACTGGGGAAACCGTCTAAAGCAACAGACTTGAATAACATACGAATCTTTCATCGTCGATATTTGGATGACCGAAGCACGTCCCCTGTACGTTTCAACATCAAACCCAACAGACCCAACGTCTTTCAAACTCTCAGCAACGGCATTCATCTCATTTTCTGTGTTTACATAGTGTATTTTCACGTCTTTGAATGACATCCTTTCTTATTTTTTCAGTTCGTCAAGTCTTCAATTCCAAACATTAAAAATCGAAATCGAAAAGGGTTTATGAAACTATAAATAACTATAAATAACAACTAAAAATGAATTATATTTGTCCTTTGAGTACATTTGAAATTGGCTTTCGAGTCAATGCATAACTTGGTATAAAACTCGCTGCAAATGAAACCACAAAGGCTAAAACATAGACAACAACGGCATTGATCCATGGGAACGCAAATACGAATGGAAGTTGTAAGAATAAGATAAACTGCAAGTTGACAAGACACGCAACACCAATCCCAATCAGAGTCCCAAAAATGACTGAGCTTAAGGTGATACAAAACGCCTCATAGATGTATATAGTTATGACCTTCCACTTCGTCAATCCAACTGCTCGTAATACAGCAAACTCCCACGAGTTCTCTCGAACATTAGCGGTGAATGAAAGTAACATAACAAAGAAACAAAGTGCCATTGCAATAAGTGATACAACGACAAAGAAGATTTCTAATATCTTCATTGACGATGTAATCGTGTATAAAGTACTTTCCGTGTCTTGCACCGATATGGTTATACCTCCAAATAATGTTCGAATCTCTTGCACTACAACGTCCGACACCCCTTTCTTCACTTTCACAAAACATGTCGAGTACGTGACTTTATTAGCAGTCCCAGTTAAGTATCTCTCGACGTCCAAAAGCTCTTGTAACTGATCAGTTGTTATAATCACTGGTGAGAACATGCCAACGGAGTAAAACGATGAGAACATTGCCCCTGGCATCGACTTCAAACTCGCTCTGATCTTCCCTAAAAAGTAATTTTTGTTGCTGTCAGTGTAGGGCAACACTTGAATGCGGACGTTGTCACCAACACTCATACTATCTTCGTGTAAGATACCTTCAGCCACAATAACGTCTGAATAGTTTTTATAATAGTAATCGGTTCCATATTTAGTGTAATACTCCGTATCAGTATTAATAGGGTTTTGTGTTGGAACATCAGAAGGACGTGCTCGTGGCGAGTCATACAGTGACTTTATCACATCGTCGTACTTATCCGCCTTTTCATATTGAATTGTGTTATCTGTCTGTACGGGGACCAACAAATCGGTGAAGACTGTCTTTGAGAAGTTGGCGTCAACTGCAATGAAACTGAGTTTCTCGTTGGGGTACATCGCCAAGTTGGATAAATAAGTCTTTGCCTTTTTATTTGCCGTTGTTGCAAAATCAGATGTCATGAATGAGTAACTTTCAACATGACTCGACGAGCTGAGGTAACTCTCTAAAAGGTCTTTGTCGAGTGTTCCAACCGTGTTTTTGACTTGGACGTCCGCGCCGAGTTGTTGTCTGATGACATTAGTCAAAGTTGTCTGCGACAAAGAAAAAGCCGCACCTGCAAATAGCACGAAACTGATAGTGATTGTCAGTATCAACGTAGTCTTAGTGTTACGTGCAGAGTGCGAGTCCAAGTTTTTGCCGACAATACTCAACAGAGCTGATTGGAATGGTGTGATGATGATGTACCGAATAATTGTTTGCATCCAAGGCTGGAATATTTGCGAGAGCAAACACAACCCTGCCAAGAATGCGAGTAACACAATTAAGAAGCAAGTGAAGAGTAATGTGAAATTTGTGTTTAAGAATGATAGTGGGACCAAATAGTATGTGATGAAACTCGCTATGATCATTATGATTGAAATCATTATCAGTAATGGACTCATCCCAATATCTTCTATCCGTTTGATTGTCACATTCACTTCATTCGCAGCAGAATGATACAAATCAAGGGAATTTCTGAGCGTTTTTGATAATACCCTCCGGATGGGAACTATATTAGAAACTACGGGAAGAATGAGTCCTAATAAAAATGGTAACACTATCGATTGCCAGACTGGGATAAATGTCATTGGCACTGCAGATAAATACGATATCAAGTAATTCACTATGAGCGAAAACAAATAGCCTAAGACTAACCCTGTGACTATTCCTATCGAAGAAAACAAGGCACTCTCCGTCACTAATATTTCAATCAAAAGCGCTTTGAGTAACCCTAACGCTCGCAACATACCAAATTCATACGTCTTCTCTTCAACGTCAGAAATCAGCAAACTGTATATCAAAAGACCACTCATGAACGCAAATACAACGAGAATGAAATTGAATATTTGTTGGAGCAAATACATCAAATAGTTGAAGACGGACACCACTTGAGAAAGTGGAGCTGTGATTGTGTATGGCTGGTCGACTCCAATGATACTTGCAATCTCATTTGTTGTGTCGATAACAATGCTTTGCATCAATTTATCTCCATCAAAATACGCCTTTGTCCGGTCTTTCATTTGCACGTAGAGTTGTGTCGCAAACCCTCCAATGTCGATTTTGAAGTTCTGGTCAAGTTGTTTGTTAATGTACTCTGTAATGAGTGTGGTATTCACAAACTGACTAATTGGACTGACTCTCTGTTTAATTTCATCGTCCACTATAGTTTTCATCATATCTTCCATTATAATCTCCACTCCACCTTTGTCAATCGAAATGACATTCCCAAGCACTTGGGAGTACTTTCCATAAGGCTTTGGAGTGACTCCTTTGACATACATTTGTTCGGTGATATTCATTTTGCTCATTAAAGTGTTTCCATCAACTTTAATGTAAAACTCGACCTGAGTGATTAAAGAGTCATTTTTGATAATAAATTGATCATATGGATCTTTTTTAAGTATATCAAGAACATATGTGTTGTACGCTTCTGTGATGTACATGTCAATCCCTTCAATGTATATTGATGAGAAGCTTCTTTGATCTACAGGGGTTGTTTCATTGATCGTTTTCTCCATGTTGTATATCGTTAATATTATAACCTTCCCATTCTTCGAGTTAGTTGGATCAACTACAGACAACGGGAGAGGGACTTCTGTCGTCACATTTCTCTCGAAAGTGAAGATGTCGGTAATTTGTGAGATGTTAGCACCAACCCCGTTAAATATCTTCACAAAATCCAACGTCAAATTGATGTTTTGACCTTCTTTAGCACCAATAATAGCAGCAGCATCTTTAGATAATACAACTGATTTGGGAGCAAGTGGATCATACTCCCAACCACGACCAATGTCGATTTCTTTTTCTAAGGTGCTATTATAGATGTTCATAATACAAGTCGCTGTACGTGCTGGACCAGTGATATCACCAACAAATAACCACCTTGGAAAATTAGCAGAGCAGTGGTTGCACGTGTCTAACAGTGTTGTTAAGTTGGTATAGTTCACAAAAGGAGAGTTTCTACTGACTAACAATATGTCACCTTCACCTATTTGGGTTTCGGAAAGTCGCATAAAAACACTGGGTACTTGCGAAACTGCAGACTGCAATACACATAAAAAGCAGACGGCAAGAAACACAGTGGAAATGCCGACGCATAACGGTTTCAACGACTTTTTGTATGAGGCAACTACGTAAAATAGTGAAAGTACTACTCCGTTCCAAAGTTTAACTGCATATGTTTCCATATCGTTGAAAAACCCCATTTTTCTTTTGAAGTTTCTTCAACGCAATTTTGACACCATCAACAAAAAAACAAAGAAAAAGACCAAAAACACAGAGCAGAATTTTTATGGTTTTTAAATTTTTCATTGAATTTTTAAACTCAATTAAACCAAAGTAAAGCTATATTTAAAAAAAAAATAATCTCGTCTTCGTATGGATTAAATTTTTCTTATACTTATTATTATTTATCCCAAAAACGTTTTTGAATTATTTATTTTGAAGTATTTTAAGTACTTTTAATAACAAATACTTTTTCTATCACAGTTTTGGAAGAATAATAAAAAAATGTTTCATTGAATTTAACTAAGAAGAGAACAATTTGAAAAATATAAAACTTTTTAAATTTGAAGACTTTTTTATAATTCTATTTACTATTTAATAAAATTTAGGTTTAAATCTCCTGTATTTTTTCCTTTAAAAATTATTAACAAGTTGGAGTTTATTTTGTGCTTTTTTCCCAGAATTTTTTTTCATTGAAACACAACATACTATTTTGCCGAACTACCAAAACAAAATTTTTTAAATAACAATTTCACTGAATAATCTCCAAAATTCAAAACGATAATATCTGATCGAGTCTTTGATGGAAAAGACGCCTTTGATTATAAAAACTAAAGGTTTAAACAAAAACAGTTCGTTTTTAAAATTTTTTATATCAATATCAAATTGAGTAATATGTTTAACGTTGAATATTATGATAAAGATACTTAATTTTAGGGACTGTTGTCGGAGTTAATCTTGTTAGAAAAAACAGACGTACTATTATCTACAATTGAAAGCATGTATATTTATAATATAAACACTCTATGAATTTACGTGAATCATATTGATGAAATGTAACTTCAAGTGGCGACAAAACGCTTATTACAAACGTTCTTCGTCTTAGCAAATTACCACAAATTATAAAACACTTGGGGATGGTACAAAATAACAATAATTCGAATATCTTAGTGATTTTTGTTATCGTTTGAATATTAATTTTACTAAAATCATAAGGATAAAAATCCACAAAGGAGCTCAAACAGGTTTTTCCTCTTTTTTTATTTTTTTTACATTCGGCAAAAAAATAAAACATCAACTTTTTTATTTTTTTTCATATAAAACTGAAAAAAGGAAGCTCCAACGTGTTAAAAGTTTGAATAATAGAGTCAGTCGGATAACGTTGTTCAGTCCCCAAACGTTGTTCACCTCAGAATCTTCTAAATAACGGCTAAATCTTCTACAAAAAAATGTAAATATTAAAATAGAACAACAATAAACATACCAATAACATTTTCTTTTTCATATTATGTTTTTCTTTTTCCAAATCAAAACGAACATAAAACCAACAAAATCATTTAATTTCAAGATCTTCACGTTTCTTGCAGAAATCAACAAACACCCCGGAAACCATGCCAAAATGACGATCTCAAGTTGAGACCGTTCAATCGGCGAAAGTTGGCTGGTTTCCACTTGCTGCGGTGGAAATGCAGAAGGCGCTCCGTCAGGTCGTTGCAGCACTTAGTCGCCTCTAGTTTGTTAATATATATTTCCAATTCAACCCAATTCAATTTAATACAAAGAACAAACATCTTTTATTTTTTTAGTTCAAAGATAACCTTTAAGTTCTCTAAAATCAAGGTAAAACTTTAAGTGTTATGTTGGCTATGTTATTCACTCTTTTTTCCTAATGATAAGTCTGTATTTTTTCAAGGGTTTTTATAGTATAATTTATAGTTTTGTATAGAATGTTATAATATTTATATTTATCGTTCAATTGATACACCAAGTATTTTAACGGATTTAAATTCAACTCCAATACATTTTACTGCAAGTTTTATTCATTTATTATCTTATTTATTTCCGTTATATTTTTTATGAAGAAAATAATAAAAGTTTAAAAATCCATTAGAAACTATATTTTAACTATAAAATACTTATAAATGAAAACTATCAGTTGTTGAATTTAAAAGCTCTGATTTTTTTTTTGTAATAAGACCAAGTAAAAAAAATTTAAAAAATTTTAAACATTGTGAGCTTTTAACACGGCTCATAAATGCCTTTTGGCAACATTATTTGAATATAGAATTACAAGAGTCAAGTGCTTTTTGAAAACGCTTGGTTTTAGTAATCACAATAAAGGCTGAACACTTGAATTGTAATTTAGTATATTTAATGTGTTTGTGTTTTTTTTGTTACTATATTTTTGAAAAAAAAATGTAATTGTTTTATCGTTTGTTTAATGCTTTCAATAAGACGAAGCATTGTTAATGCTAGGCTCTTTAGACGGTATTATTACAAAAAGCTTTGAATCAATGAATTTTTTTCTGTGAGTTGAAAAGATTTAAATTAAAGCATACCAGAGTCCCTGATATGTTCAAACATATAATTAAATAAACTTGATGTTATATTTTCATTTTCTTGTTGTTCAAAAAGCTTATAAATTATTCAGTATAAAAATTATGTTTTACTTGTGTTGAAAAGTGTTATTTTTTCAATTTTATTTACTCATCAAGTTTTTGTTTTTTATCTTTTCTGAACATATGTTTTTGTAAATAAAAGGAAGATAAATAACAGAGTTAAATTATAAGCAAAATGTGGGATTATTAGGGTTGACGTTTTTTGTTTTGGAGTTGCTTTAATTCAATTATTTCTTTTTTTTAACTCTTTTAATTTGTTTTAAAGCGGGAATTGCTAAAAAATAAATTTTAACATGGTAAACATTATTGTTATTTGCCGATAGTTTCTTTTATTGAAGGAACTTTCTATTGTTCTAAAAATATAACACTAAAAAAAACAACGTTTGGGGAGTGAACAACGTTAACAGACTGACTCTAATTAAGACTTTTGTTTTATAAAGTTTATGGGACCTACATTGACCACCACCTCTTAAAATAGATTTATTTTTTCTATTTCGAATCATATTCAAATTATAGTAAATAGGAAAATGGGAAGATATTAGGTCTGGTTTCCGAATTCAAGAAATGCCGAAAATTCACCTCGAGTTAGTGGAAACCGAGTGAGACGGAGCATTGAAAAGAAGGCTCTAAAGGCCGCACTCAAACAGTCTGTTTGTGCACCGTTTCACCCACTTTCCAAGTCCTCCCTTGGCGCGGATCCCCCCTGACCCCCTTGCAAGCGGGGGGGAACCACATCCGCGTCCACACAGTACGGACAAGGAAAGTGGGTGACATGGGGACGCACAAACAGTGGCTGAAAAATGGACTTCCTTCAAAAAACACTCGCGGCAAATATTTTTTTTTGGTAAAGGTGGTGGTCAATGTAGGTCCCAATTTTTTGTATTTTAATAAAATTGTTTTTAACTAAAAAAATACAATTATATAATATAATAATAAGTAATTAAAATACTCAATTTAAAACAATATAATAATAAAACTACAAAATGAACTATTCTGTTTTTGGAAAGAGTAGTTTGAATATAATTTATGAAACCATTATAAAATGAACCTGAAATAGAAAATGAAAAACCCTTAATTAAACAATATAATAAACCAATCCATAAATCCTAATTATTCAAAAAGACACAACAATCAAAAATTAACTTTTCACACCAAACACATCCTTGACACTGATGACACAGCATCTCTTTCAAGCTTAAAACATTTGTCTCTTAACACTTCGTTGTCACTCTTTAAAAGTCCAACTTCATAGTCAAGAATATTTCGTTCGCCTTCCACACGATATAAATCTCCTCTGACCCTTTCAAGTTCGATCTTGACCGTCTCAGTCGCAATTTTCTCGTCGATAATATTCTGTTGAGCAACATCCAATTCCTTTCGTATTTTAGTGTTCTCTTCCTTGAGCTCAGCGACTATTTTCTTCAGATACTCTTTCTCAGACTCAACTGTCTCTTTCATCTCAAAGCATAGTTTTAATTGAACGTACTGGTCTATATCGACCTCAACTTTTGTCATCTCTTTTTATAAGTTCTTTTTTCCTCGTCTTTGTACTAGAAATATACTATTAGATACTATACTACACTATTCATCAATTGTATTTATAACTGAAGTAAAAAGGTATTCAATTGTTCTATGAAGTTTAGTTTCCTGTAAAGTAGTCTTTTTTTGTAGTGTTTTGTGTTCATTTAATATTTACTAATATCAATCTTATCTTAAAATAGTAAAATAATTTCATTACTAGTTTATTAATTATATAACTATTAAAATGCTGATTCTATTCCAATTCTAAGTTTATAATCATTTGCCTTAAGATAATAAAAATAGTTATTATTTATTATTAATAAAGTAAGTATTAAATTCTTATAATTCTTTTATTATAATAAGTAATTAAAGCCATATAAACTATGAAACAGAGTCTAAACTCGATTACTCTTGAACTTTCTTCTTTTGGACTAAAAGAATTCTGTCCCCAAGAGAAACTGCAACACCTTGACTCTTTGCTCTAATTCTGATACCACCAGTTATCTTCCCGTTATCGATTTCAACAGATATATTCGCTAAAGCGTCATCGCCAAACACGGTTGTCGCATACAGGTTTGCAGACAAAAACCCAATTTCCGAGCAAAACAGATTCTTTGGGGTGATGCAATTCATTCTTGCCTCTTTACATATATTTTCAATGAACTCGCTTAAGTTGTTAATCTCAGTCTCAACAACTATTTTGTTCTCCCACTCATACTCCGCCCACTTTGTTTGGAACTCTTCGTTCGTGATATTACCAGGGTTAATACTGTCAAGTGCTTCAACACTTATGTTAGACAACACCATGTGCCCATCACTACTTCCCGTGGTGACCTCTTTCCCAGTCTTGTCAAAGTTGACATATCCAGCAATTAATCCAGACGATGTTCCCGTGACTTTCACAGGAATGGTGACTCTAGTAAACTCGCCAGGCCCAAGTGTTAGTGGTGCAAATTGTCCGACCACAGAAAGTCCTTCAGACCGTGGCACCAACTGCACAACAATATTTTCTAAAGTGCTTTGTGATTGGTTCACAATCAACGTGTCGATGTTAATATCAAATTGGGAGAGCTCCATGCTTGCTTCCAAGTAAAGAATGTCCGAATATCCACTCAATTGCACTATGTTTCTGAAAGTGTCGTAACTTTTTTCTTCTTTCTCAGGCATTGGCATATTGTCTGTGTTCTCGTTATAAATGCCAATCACAATTTCGTCGTCAACCTGAACACTCTTGGTCTTCTGGACGATTTTATCTTCTTCAATAAGTGGCTCTAACAAGACAATCTCCTTCAACTTGTCATCTTTTGTTGTTAAACAAGTCATCCCTTGTCTTATCTTACCAATAACATCACTATTCGTTTCTACCTTTTTAAGTGTCAGAAGACTTTTCAACGCGCGAGCACGTATTTGATTGATCTCGGGCTTTGACAACACTTTCTCCCCTTTGAGTACCAACTTTACCAAACTCGAGACAAACAGTCCAATAATGATCGTGTTAGTATTAGTGAGAAGAGACACTCCTGTTAATGGGCTGAAAATCGAATTGACTTTGTCAAAGCCTTCTTTCAGCTCTTCTGGTGTTTGACAGAAACGAGCTAGAAGTGCCGCAAACTCGCTCAACAGTATTGGGCTTGTTTCTGTTTGAATGATTTCAAACATTGATTTCAAGATCTCTTTGTTGTTTGTATTCCTTATGTTCAACATTGCCTTGAGGAACAAAAGTATCTCTTTAGAGACTAAAAGAGACTTTGTGGACCTCATGATGTCTAATAATACCGGTACAATTGACTCGCTCTGGAATTTCTTATTGCACAACTTGATTGCTTGGACAACAACTAATTGATACTCTTCATTCTCCTCTTTCAGTAACTCCTTTTTGAGCGCGTTGATCACTTCATTCACACTTTTCGCTGTGACACATTGAACAACAACACCAACAAATGTCGATCTCACATACGACGATGTGTTTTGGAACCCTCGAAGTAAATCAATTTCAAGCTCGCACATCAGTCGTGGTGTCTTCATAATTTGTTGTGAAATGCGGTTTAACACACTCATCTTGACATTCATATCACTCGATTGGATGACAATATCAATCATACACTTGATTCCAGCCTTCACAGCAGATGGGGAAGACGACACTGAAAGTAAACACGTGGCAGCTTCATACGAAACAGCCGGTGACTGGCTTGTAATGAGTGCAGAACAAATTGTCAAATATGTGCTGTAGTGTTGTGGTGTCGACTTAGACACCGCCTTAATTAAATTCAATATTTCAAGTTGGAGACTTTCTTCTGATGTGTTGATCTGTTCCGCCTTTTTCACAACATATGCAACTGCTGTCGCCAAGTCGACTTTAATAAGTGCTCTCAGCGCACTGCATTTCAGTGGTCCGTTTCTTTCTTTAATTAAAGCGGTTTTGAGGAGTTCTGGAGCGTTTGGCACTACGTCTGGGAAAGCCTTAAAGATGTGTGCTATTGCGGTATAACAATGTCTTCTTACTAATGTGCTCTGTGAGTCCACATTATCAACAACAGCGTGTGCAAGTGGTTGAAGAAACTCTTTTTCTCTTACTGTGAGAATGAATTTGAGGGTTAACGCTCTGACATATTCATTAGGATGGTTCAAGTCCTGTAACAGTGAATTGATGGCCAGAATCAGTTCCGGAAGAAGTTTTCCTGCTTCGTCGACTCTTTGAACCGTACTCAAATAAAAGAGAAACAGTCTTTTAACTTCATGATCAGTGGATGGGAGTGCATACCGTATGACATTCATCATCACTTCTGGATGTGAATTATTATTTAATTCTTCTGAAATAATTTGTTGCAGTGCTTCTTTGCGACTCGAGTCATCTTTTTTCAACATATTCTCAACGTCTTCTGCTTTGTATGAAAGATAATTATTAAACAGCTGATATGTTTGGCTCATCCCTTTGTCTTTTTGAGTTCCATGCAGATCTCACTATTTTTAGTTCGTTAATAAAACACCTCGTTATTTTCTTTTAGTTAAGATTAATATTATATTAATATTATATTTATAATTACTAATTACAAAACTATACTTTAAATGATAATAATCAATCAATCTTTTCTAAGGCATTTAAAGTCATCTTCACTAGGAGGTTGTCGTTTGTTTGTGCCATATTCACCAACAAAGGTGGTAACAGCACAATTCAATATTTCAAAACACTTTTTGACTTCTTCGACTTTTGTTTTGAGTCCATCTGTTCCGCACTTTGATTGTGCGTCTAAAGTTATTTGTTTCAGTTCATCAACTTTCTTCAGAATATCGATTATCTGTGCCTCTTCAAGTGCTTTAGTCTCCAGTTTTTCTTTTTTAGTCTCGACAACTGAACTTTCATTGTGTTCCAAAAGATTTACACTGTCTTGTTGACCAAGTTTTTCGCTTTCTTCCATTTCGCTTAACACCTTTTCAATATCGAAGCACTCCCAACTCTCATTTTGGTCTTCGTTGGTGTTACTTGATATTGGTTTATTGCTCTCTTCATCTAAAAATTCTTCTTCCATATTCAAGTCCAAACACAATTCGTTGTTTGACTGCATAAGAGCCGGTTGACATGTGCTTTCCGCGCTTTGTTCAACCTTTTCAACCTTCTCAATTTTTGTTTCTTGTTTCGGATTTTGTGCCAGCGATGTTTCATTTACAAGTGATGTCGTCGCGCTCCCAATTGTTTCTTCCACACTTTTTCCCTCACTTTTGTTATCAATTTGTAAACTTTGTGGTTGTGAGACTTCAGAAATTGCAGTGCTTTGGATTTTTGGTTCAAGCAGTTTCTCCAACATCTCAATTTTCTTTTTGAGCTCCTCATTGATGGAAGTCTCCGCAAGTATTTTGTTTTGTGTTTCTTGGAGCTCTTGAATTTTCTTTGTGACGATTGAAAACTCTTCAAAACTCACAAGTCCATTCGTGGGACTTTCTTTTAAATTCACTTTCTCTGTTGTTTTTTCTTCTTCCATTATTTGTTTTTGTTGGGCTTTGTTTTCTACTGTTGTAATTGTTTCTTGAATTGTTGGTTCTTGTTGCGATACGTGTTGTATCATTTCTTGACTATTTTTATCGACGTCTTGACTCGTTTCGACGAGCTCTTTTTGTTCGATTGGTTGTGATGGTTTCATAGGAGAAGTTACTGGAGATGGGGAATTCGAATTGGTCTTTTTGACCCAATTTAAGACGGATGTTTGTTTTGTTTTGATGTGTTTTTCTGTTGGCTCGACTTTTTTGACATTATTCATTTTGTTAAAGAAACACGAGATGTCACTTTGTCGTTTAATTTCAACTTCTTTCTTCGTCATGTGTACCACCGGCTTTGGTTTGCTTTCCGTTGAACTGTTTTCTTCAAATTGAGTAATTTCCAATTTCTTTTTCTTTGTTGGTTCTGGAAATTCGAGTTCAGTGTTTTCCGTTGTGGTTGTTTCGCTCTGATTAAAATTGATTTCAATAGGTTTTGTTATGTCTGTCGTGGGTGGAATCGACGCTTTTGTTTTCTCTTCTTTAATGACTGTAGGCATTATCATCTTTTGGTGTTCTACGACAACTGGCTTGATTTCTGTACGTGTCTGTATATCTTTAATTGCTTTTACATCGTCGACTATTATAACTGGTAATGGGACTTCTTCCATTTTCTTTTCGAGAGGACGTTCACTTGTTGGTAAAAGGGGGTGTTCTACATTAGTAGGTTCTTCCTCCATCTTTCCTTTGGCCTTTTCTATCTCAGTAATTAGTTTCTGTGGTAAATGCATTGGACTCTTTTGTTGTCCTATTTCCTCAACTTCCATCTTTTGAGGAGTTCCATTGTTATCACTTGGTGCAGGTTCTTTTGTTTTTTCATTTTCAATATTCAACTTCTTCTCCTTCTCCTCTTTCTTTCTTCTTTTCTCTGCATTTTTGGATTCAGTTTTTAAAAGTGCAAACACTTTTTTCTTTCTTTCAACTTCGTTGATAAGCGGTGAGTGCTTCTTTGGTGGTTTAATATTCTTTTCTATCATCTCGTCCTTTGCTTTTAACGTCTTCTTAAGCTCAGTTGTCTTCTTTTCAAACAACTCAAGTTCACTTGGTTTGTTGTCGTCAGTATACATCTTAATAACATTCCCCTCTTTGACCTTTTTGCCACCGTTGACATTCCGTTGTTCTATGTCAATCACTGGTATATCTTTCTTTGATTTTTTCTTTTTTACACTTTCTTCGTTCTTCTTTTGTTGTTTTGGTTTCTTCAATTGAAGAACTTCTATTTCACTATCTGAGTCCTCGCTTCCACTCACTGTTTCTTTAATAGTCTTTTTCTTTGTTTTTGTCTTCTTTTCTGGTTTTGTTTCTCTATGAATGGGTTTTGAATCATTTTGTTTTTCAATACCATCAGATTGTTGTAAAGATTGATACGCAGGTGTACCAGTTGAAATTTCACCTCTTTTGTCTTCCACAAATTCAATTTTGTTCTTATCACCTGTGTCGTTTTTCAGCTCGTTTTTATAGTCATTCGGCTTGAACATCATAAATGAATCCGGTTGTTGAATGATGTCATCAAACTCAAGAATCAGTCTGTTTTTAGTTAACCAATTGATGTAATCTTCCCACACCTTAACTTGTCTTAGCGTTTTGATATTTCCTACAACACATAATGCCCGTTTAGCTCGAGTGATCGCTACATTTAGTCTCCTTTCATCTTCAACAAAGCCAATCCCATTATGTTCAGAACTTCTTACACAAGACATGATCACTATATCAAACTCTCTTCCTTGGAAACCATCCACTGTATTCACTAATACATTTAATGACTTCGCAACTTCATTTTGTTCAATTGCTTTCTTCACATCTAAAACTTGTTTTCTGTATGGCGTGATAATCCCTATATCCCAATGAACACACTCAACGTTCTTACTTATTTCTGTTAATAGAAAAACTACGGCTTTCACTTCCTCTGTATTAAATAAAGATGACTCCTTCCCAAGCCTATCCTCTTTCCCACAAACATTTAAAAATAACACTGAATTGGAAACAGAATTGATCTTCTCGATTTTAACACCATCAGCCAACCTCCCTTCATAAAATTCGTTCGATGGAAACTCACGAATTTTTGATTCCATTCGGTATTGCTGTGTCAGTAACGTTACATTTAATCCACACTCTAATAATCTTTCAAAAAGACTTTTGTTGTACTTGTACGTAATAGATTTAGGCGACAAAACAGTCGAAGGAAGCTGCTTCTGATCTCCAATCATGATACACCTCTCCACCCCATATTTCAGTGGAATTAATGCAGAAACCTCAACGCATTGGACAGCTTCATCGATGATACAAGTCTCAATCTTTCCAAATAAGTGTTGTTGTAGAGTGTCGCACCCAGCACTATTTAACGTACAACATATCACATCACAATTACTAATAATATCTATAGTAACAGAATGTTTCATTGCACAAATTTTATTTTGCAAATCGTCCTTTTGTTTCAGTAAAAGTGCAAGTCCTGACTTCAATTTGTCTTTGTTAATTTTTGCATTTGTTGCCAATGCATTTTTAAGTTTCTCTTTCAATTCGTTGATTTTTTTGTCCAAGTATTCTAAAGACATTTCCCCTCTGCGCTCAATTTCTTTGCCGACGAGGTTTTCAAGAACTAAATCCTTTATTTCTGGATTTGTTAATGTTGGCGTCCCAACTCGAACTATTTTCACAGACTTCTTCTCACCATTTTCATCGTACACTCCCATCTTGAGTAATTTCATAATAATTCCGTCGATGGCCGCATTTGATGGGGAACATATTAACACTCTTTCATGATGTGACTCGCTACTTTTTGAAAAAACTGAAGAAGAATTTCCATACAAAATAACACCAATAATACCACAGAGAGTCATAGTTTTACCTGTCCCTGGTGGTCCTTGAATTAAAGAAAACCCTGATTTTGCAAGTGACCTAAACATGGCGTGTATCTGTGAGTCGTTGAACTCCTTTTTGTTTCTGAGCATTCGTTCGTATTTAATCGACATTGGTCTAAAATACGTTGGTTTGTAGCTCTGTGGGTTGAGCACTTGTTTTTGGAGTTTAAGTTCTGTTATTTCGTTCAACGCGATGAACTCTCGAAGTGGGCTCAGAACGGTACCAATTCGTCGGATAAATAATGGCTGTTTAGGTTGTATTGAGTTGAAGAAATCGTTTGATTCTATTGAACCATCTGTAATAAATTTCATTAAGAATTGGCCGTTGCCATATTCAGTTTTTTTCACAAAAAGTGCTGTTTTGCAATTATTTTTAGGGTATGTCTTGGTTTTGAAAAATTGTGTACTCGCAACAAAGAAGTCAAAATCGGAAAAGTCGTTTTGAAAGCGACATTCAATAGTAACATAGACTTCGACGTTTTGTGGTGATGATTTCATGGATACCACTTTCACCTTATACACATTTTCATTCTCTTTCTCGTTGATATTCTTTTCAATGGAAGATCGACACTCATCAAACACAAAAGGTTTCAGTGTAGAAATGTACTGATCAGTGTTCGTGTACACATTAAGAGGTGCGACAGTAAAAGATGGAAGAGCGGTGAATGGGTACACTTGCTTCAGAACAAAATTCGCAAATTCGTTCTCGAGTTGTTGTATTCTATGCGTTGGTGCTACAACCCATTGTTCGCTTTTCGGAGCGTCTGGAACAAAGGCTTCACTTTTTTGACATGTTTCCAAAGTCTCTTGTTTCGCGTCTTTCATTTTTTGAACGTCTTTACACAAATCTTCAAACACATCAGAGCTCTCAGAGTTGTTGTCTTCGCTTCTTTGTGACATTGATTATTTCAGTTTTTCAGGTTTGAACTCCTCAATTATTAAAGCTTGTAGTAATAATTTAAATTATAATACATACTACAAAAAACTATTAATATATTAATCAAATAACTTGAATATTAACAAAAGTAACACAGTTTTGATACAGACAGACAACAAAAATAGAAATGGCTTATTTGTAGTTTTCAAATCTATACCGAATAGTAAAACCTAATTAAAAAGTTGAAACAAATGAAATAAGTCACGAGCCTTTACTATGAGTCGTCGCAAAGTTTCGACACCTGAAGTTGGCACGACTCTTCCGTCTGGTTATTTCCGACGATTGGCAAGTAAGTTGGATTTGCTAAGATGACGAAGAGTGGTTCAGTTGGGATGAACCCATAGTCGTTGTTTTTAAACCTCAAAAATTTGTTAACTTCATCGAGTATTTGCTCCTTTTGTTGTGCGTTAATGAACAAGTTTGTGCTTGGGTACTTCTGTGTGATTGACCGAATCTCTTTAAGCAAAGGAGAGCTGCAAGTTAGAATCCATTTAACTATTAAATAATAATAATAACAATTTATTATAAAAATAGAATGGAACAAACATGTATGGGACACAATAATCTTTCACTTTGTCTAACGCACTTTTATATCCCTTGAATGAGTATGTACTAAACCCAAAGTTTTTCGTGATATCAGCAATGTGTTTCATTGGAGAATTGACTGCCTTCACAGTCATCCCAAGGCGTTGCACCGTCTCAAGTTCAAACCCTTTGCAAATACCAGCAAGTGACTGGAAGTTGTTGAGTTGTTCAAGTTCAAGAGCAATGTCTATCATCTTCTGGAACATCGCCACTCGATTTTTGAAATCAGCAAAAATCAGAATCATCGAAGACGTCCAATTTGCAACTTCGTCAATTCGGTCGATCATCTGTGCAACATGAGAGTATCTGCACACCCTATTCTTCTTGTGTATTTCGGGAATGTTCTCAAGAAACTCCGAGGGTTTAGTGTTTTTATACACTCCAAAGTCGATGACTGTCATTTGTCGGGCTATTTCTTTAGGGTCACACGATATGAAAAATTCGATTGGGAATATCGGCTCGTCTGGGATAAAAAAGTTGATAGGGGGAATGAGTAGTCCCGCAATATTCAAGTCTCTAATAGTTGCTTTCCTCTGATATTGCACCTTGAGTTCGAGTGCTTTTGTGTCTTTCAATGGTGTCAAAAAGTCGTACAATATCTTCCCTGCCTCAAGCCCTAAATCTCCAAACGATTTATAAATAATTATCTCAACAACATTCATCACATTCTCCTTTACCTTTGCATCTCCAACGTTATACGCTTTCACCGTTTTCTCAATAAATTCTTTAGAAGACATCATTGACCCAAAGGATGCAACCATCAATTCCGCAAAGTTTTGGTCTGTCGTCGATGTCATTCTGTCAATAAATCCACCGACGTTCCCAGAGACAACATGGTTCTTTTGTACAATCACTTCTGGGTTCCCAGTAAATGTCGTTGGTACTCTTTCTGCTTTCTTTAAAGCAACTATTACTCTTGTTTGGTCGTAAAACATTATCAAAAGTTGAGAGACGTTCATCATGAGCATGACAACCTCAACTAGACAAGCCTTTTCTAAACAAAGCTTCTTCGAGATGTTGAATTTTTTCGACTCCTCCTTCTTCTTGTCGTCTTTCTTCTTTTTCACTTCGGTCACTTCCTCTCCGAGTTTTCCAATTTCCTTTGGCTTTAAATGAGCAGCAGCGTGTGCGATCATTAAAGCATACGACACACTCATTTTAAGGCGCAATGCAGTTTCTCTAATAATCTCCTCCAAATCTCCAGGTCTAAACTCGTCTTTAATGTCATTCACATTTTCAATTTCTTTTGTTAGTGCTTGTATGTTCACTTCATTCTGATTTGCAAGTAATGTCTTTATTATATTGTAATACCCAGATAATTCATTTTCGTATGTGTCGTACACTTTTTGTTCTCTCAGCGCAGAAAGTCTTTTCAACAAGTCCACTACGTTCCCACCAAAGGCTGTGAGAGAGTCCAATGTCTGGACACACATATCGAAAAAGTCTTCCGAGTAATCAATATGTGGTTTACCCAACATAACGGCACTCAAACATATCGCATCTTCCATAGCAACCGCAAAGTCCGCAACTTTCCGAGTGATGTTGATGAACGTTGTTTTCTCACATTCTTCGATCTTTGCACGCTCTTCGTCAGACCCAATACTTTCTTCCTCCACAATGGGTTCCAATGTGAATAGTCTCGAAGTCACTTTAAAGAGTGTCGATGTTTTTCTCAGTACCGCGGAGTTCACATCAAATGTTTTGAGGAGATTCTCGACGTCATTAGTTTTACAGTCGGTGTCAAGTTGGTTCTCCAACGACGCCACAAGTTCCTTGACAGTTGTTTCAAACGAGGGCTTTTCAAATTCTTCAGTCCTTGAGATCTTTTCGATTTCTCTGGCAATCGAGTCGATGATGAATTGTTTTCTTATTTCAATGACATTATACAATGGTTCATTATCACCAAGTTTTGTAGTGAGAGCTTTTTGCCGTCGTAAAGTCATTTCATAATTTCCCTTTTTCTCCTTTTTCATTTTCGATGACGTGTTAAAGACTTTCCGCATCTCGACATTGTTCTTCACCGTTTCAAAGTACTTCTTTATTTCTATTATATCCATCATCCGCTGATCAATGTTCACTTCCCCCAACATCTCTCGCTTGATCTGGGATATCTCTTTGTTCACTTTTTCGACCTGCGCTTGAAGTTCTTCTTTTTCTTTGTACAACTGTTGGAAAGGAACACTCATCAAATAGTCCTTTTTCAAGTTCCATGTATTAACAATTATAGCCATATAAAAACCAGTTATTTTGGGAGTCATTTGACCCTTTTATTTCTATTGTTTTATTACCAATAATCTATGGCATATATTCCTTTATTATTGGCTATATCTTTGCTAATCAAAAGAAGGGTTTTGTTTTTTTCTCTCGACTTGTCTAAAGTGATTCATTCAAAAAAATAACTTTTTGTAAAAAGTTATTTTTTTACAAATAACTTTTGTAAAAAAATTATTTGCTGTATCATCATGATGAAAATATTATAAAAATATTATAAATTAATAAATTACAAATATCATATATTTGTAATTATGTATTATAAAATAACTATAATATATTAATAATTGTAAAACATTTTTTCAAATGAAAAAAAGGAGTTTGATTGTTTTTTTATTAAATTCAGTTGAAATACTTATAAAAAATAGTTTTATTGTTATTGTTAGTTTTTTAATTAATTTTATTATAAATTATTAAAATATATGGTTTATTTTAGAGAAATTATCACCCAATTAATCGTTTATAAATATTTATGTTCTTCACTTGCTATCCACGTCTTTACGTTTCAAATTAGTTTCTCATTGTGTTTGTAGCCAATATATATTATTATTGTT